TATTGACCACGACCCGCAAGAAATACAGTCTGTCTTGTGACCTGGTTTACATACACGTGAGCAGTGTATTCTAATAACTTCATTCTAAACTGAAAAAACCTCCAAATCTACGTTAGCTTGAAAAAAAATACACCAAAGGGTAAAGTAAAACGCACAGAGGGAGTTTTTAAGATGTGTGTGTGTGGCTGTGCGCATGCCTGGGCTCCACAGTGGACATACAGGCCGTTCCTAAGCTGAGGACAACGTGGTTGTCATTCCCCACTCCATCTTTACCACTTGTTAGTGTTTATTCTCATACGTGTGCTAAGAGGAATAACCCACCAATGTCAGCAGGCTGAATGTGACTTGGGAATAATAAAACCATTTAACTTCATTAGGAGTGAGGAAGAGAGCTAGATTATTTAAGTTATGTCTAAAACGTTCTACTCAGAATAAAATAAATGATGCCAGTACCTGGGGAAGATTAAAATTGAAACCACAAGGTCAAGTTATTCCCAGGGAGTCAATATATACAGAATGGAAAATTCCTGGCTCATACAGCCAGGTCCCCCCTTCCCTGCCCACAGCAGACTTCACTTATCAATCATACTTTCCTTTTCTGATGAGCCCCAGTCTGAGCCTCATTTCAAAACAGTCCTGCAGGTGGCCGTGATCAATTATTCCGCCCTGGCCGGGCGCCCCTGGGGGCGGAGCGCTAACGCGCCGGCTTAACCACTGTGCACAAGACACCTACGGTTACAACCTGGGAAAGAGGTCACGGCAACACCATTCTTCTTGGTAACAGATAGGTAAACAGATCCAAGGACTTGTTCCCCGCGTACATGATTCTACCTCTGAAAGCAAGGGCTTTGTGCAGGACACGACAAAAGAAAAAGGAAAAACTAAGGCCATCCCTGCAAATGACTTGAAAAACATCAGTAGGGCCCTGAGATCACCCATAGCTAAGAAATGTGAAATTTCTCATGAGACCTACAGCTGGTCCCTGAGAACCAAGAAATCAGAGATCTATTACTGTGTTAGTCCACAGGTTGAAAAGAAGTTTTAACAGTAAAAGGAACTGATACAAGATTACAAATCTTATCATAAATATTTAGTTCCTTTAAAAATAACTTTTCACCCTAAAGACTAGTGAGTATCTTAGTAGCCAGTTGTTTTTGAACAATAAACATGGGAAATGAGGGGTATAAAAATTCTGCAAGACCTGAGCAGAGTCCCAACTGAATGGCAAAATTAATTTTGTGCTTAAGTTTCTTAACATTATGAATCCTCTGCTAGACTCTAAACCCCGGGGAGTCTGTGTCTGGACTTTGTGTTTCTTACCTTCTGACTTAAGAGGAGGGTCTTGTTGGCAGCAGACGTGCCAGAAATATTTGTGTGGTACCCCTGGTGCATGAACTAACCTCCCTGCTTAGACCCGAGCCCCAGGAATATAATGCCTGGCTTCCCAAGCCCTGAAAACTAGTTACTCTTTTGCTTCCTTGATCCCTACCTATCCCAGGTTGAAGTAGATGCTAAAGTTTCTCTTGAATTGGTTCCTCAGTCCTAAGGTTAAGTGCCCTAATTGTAGATGGGACAGGCCTGGTTATGTACTGGCCCCCTCACGTTATCTGAAGGGGGAAAGCATGTTCACAGCACCAAGGCTGGGCTTACGGACATCACCCAAGGCAAAACACAGCCAGTAACAAGGAAAGGAGAACCAAAAGGCCAGGGAATCTGAAATGGACAGATAAGGGAAATGAAAGCCATGGGACAGGACAGGACAGGTCACAACAGAGGTTTGGGAGACTGGATTGGACCAGAAGAATCAAGGTCAAAATTAACATGAAGAGCACTTTTAATTGGCCTGACTCGCCAAGGAAAAAAAAAGAAGAAATTAGAACAAAGAAAATTTTGGAGTTGGAAATCCTGTAGTGGAGCTGTTCCAGGCTTTGGAGGTTCCAGGAATGCCCTTGGCTGTCATGAGCTGAAGGAGACGACAGGCAAGAATACGTGTTATTTTTCAAATCCTTCGAGACCATGGCATTCAGTTCTGACATTTTCTTTGCTGTGTTCACCTCCACTTGTTCCACAAGTTAAATCCTTAACATGCCTATGAAATTGGCCTGGGGAGGCTAAAACCATTAAAAAAAAAAAGTGTCACCTTCAACAGCATCACCCACATTAAACCGCATTACTTGTGATTTTGATTTCGCCTTCTCTATTAATAAATAGCATTGTTAAGTTTTATAAAATCAATAATGCCACAAAATAATTCGTTTTCATAAAAAAAAAACCTATCTTATCCAAGAAACTTATCCTTTTTTATTGGAGTGTAGTCAGTTTACAATGTTGTGTTCATCAAAAACTTATCTTCATATTACTTTCAGTAACACAGATGGTTACTCGGCAAATATCTATAGAACGCATGAATAAGCACTCTATAGAATATTAAGACATTCTACTCAGCTTACAGAAATCCCCATGCTTTGTCCCACCTGCTGGTTGACTCCAATAATTTTAGCATCGGTTATAAAACCAGTGATTAAAAATAACCATCTCAAAAATAGTGAGGCTTTCAATACAATGTCCATGGGACCAAACACATGAAGGCCACAGAGTAAGGGAGTCT